ATGGCGATGGGAGTCGCTGGGACTACGTATAAAACAAGTCACGATCCGCGACCAAAAATTACCCATTGATTGGCCACAAATTCGTTAAGTGAATTGATGTGTGATGGGCCTTTCCCCAACGAAATATAAACTCTCGTGAGTAGTCACGCGACCATCGCTAACTGAAGTACATCGAATCAGTCATCGAATAAATTAGCATATTGATGAGGACAGAACATGTCCGAGTCAGAAGGAACCCCTTCTCACAGCTCTATACTAATAATTTCCATAGTTTCACGTGCACTCGTGCCTTGTCACGCTACCATCGCTAGCAAATGGTATTTTCCAGCTTTCCGAAATTTCTCAGCTTAAATATTGAATGAACGTTGATAAGAGCCCGCCACTCCGGCACTTCTACTGCAGTATCCCGCCCACTCCCTTATCACGTTCCTTCACGCCACCATCGCTAGCATATGTGCTCTAGAAGCTTTCTGACGAGGCTTTGGGCACGACTTCTGCTGCTGCTGCAGTCGCTTAGTCAAATTGTAGTGCCATTCCAATAGCGGCACTCGAAACTGGTTTCCCTCTCCTCGGCCCGGGAATGGGGGGGCACTGAAAGAAGGCAGCAGGCAGCCATCGAGGCAGACGCCCACATGGGCAACCGCAATAAATAATCATAAGAAAAGCAAAATATAATAAATAATATTTAATAGTCATTATTTTGTTACCTTCGCAAGTGCGCCAATAACAATTTGATGACCAACTTCGAGTGGCGGTTCTTCGATTAGATCTATAGCCCATTACCCCTAGAAATCATTCGTAGATTGCGCAATCGGTAGTACTTTTGGGGGCATCTGTTGATTAATATTAAATCTTTAATGAAAGGAAGAGTTTGAATAGAAGTTGGATCTCGAAGTTCCCTCAAGAAATATCTTATTCATGAGTGTGGGCTTTATCTGCTTTATCCCCCACATAACGGGCTGTGAGTAATGAGTGCAAACAATGCGAATATCTAGCGTTTTCTTGCTCTTTACGAGCCCGATAAGAGAGTGGTTCTATGTGATTCATTACCATGAGATATCTAGTATTATTTGCTATGATATTTTGTATGACTTGTAGGCGCTTCATCAGTTCTTCAGATTCGGATGCTTTGGTCTTCGGCCCCTGTCCCAATCATTGACCAACTCATAGCCGAGTGAGTAACTCACTTCAAAAGAGTCTGTTCCCATTTGCAAATTACCCAAGCACTGGGGCCTGGGCCGATGCTCCACTTTTGATATGCAGGGCACTAGCTCACACACCCAAAGCGAGGGCTCGAATATGTACGCAGCCTGTGCTGCCTGAAACATGAACAATTTTCAATTCAATCGCCTTCGAGAGCTGTCGTCGTCGTCACTCATTAAGCATTTGGCAGGTGATTCATAAGAATCATTCATTTGTGGCTCACCCTCGCAGCGGGCATCGGGCTTTGGGTCTCGAGTGTCCGCCCACCACCCCCCTCACACAGAATTGAGTGGGTGTGGCGGCGGCTGGCGCTGGGGTCCGTTCTCCGTTAGCTGCATGCAAATGCGCGAGAATCGGGAACCGGTTCTAGAGAAAATTTCTTTGTCTGTCTGCCAGCCTGTCTGTCCCCGTTCCAACCACAAAGTGAGTCAACCTCCGTATGGAGTGCTCTATTTCAGCGTCTGACACCGCTCCTGTGGCTGCTAATGCAGTCTTTCAACTCCTCACGCATTTTGTGGCGCCTCTAATCGCTCTAAGATATCCATAAAAGTATATAGCAGGAGGACACACTCTGATAGCTCCGAGGGGTGTGTGTAAATATGCCATGAATAAGTCAAGTCGCGATCGACGACGACGACAACGATGGCGACGACGACGACGAGCCACGCGAGCGATTAAAGCCGCGTCAATTATTTGCTCGGCACACGCGCCAAAATGATTGCTCACAGTGCAAATGGTTGATAAACATTTACATTACCAACATTTACCATTCAACATCCACATCTACCGCCAGTATATCTACATCATCATCATCGATATCCACATCAACATCAACATCGACTTCGACGGTTGGCAGCGCGAATAAGTGCAATTTGTTAATTGTTGCAAAATGTGCTGCTGCATAATTTGCTCTAAAGATAATTGCCCATGAAAATCGCACACAAAAGGTGCCGCATGCAACAAGGGAGTTCTGCCAACGATTTCCAAAAGGTCGAGCCACTTAATTGAGGATGTCTAATGGGGGATGGATTGTCATAGAGGAGGGGGTAGCACTGTTAAAGGTAAAGGTCAGTAAAATGACAAATTTGTCAGAAAACTGAGGAAGACGATTTCAGTGCGTTTTGTTAGCTGTTTTTACCGCTAGCTACTATTACAACTAAGAAGCGTCTTACACGCGTTTTATATGCTGTTTGATTTCATTCCCCGTGACGTTTTGGCTGTTTAGCAAATACTAATCCTATTTTTGTTTTTACAGACACTCACAGCGAGAACTCGACCATCACGAAAACGCCACTATTCCCGAAAGATCTATTCACGAAAGAACAGCTTGAAAACGGCGCTGTCATCCTGCACATCATTGGAGTAATCTATATGTTTGTGGCGCTGGCAATTGTCTGCGATGAATTCTTCGTGCCTTCCCTTGACGTAATCATTGAAAAGCTCGGCATTACAGACGATGTGGCCGGCGCGACTTTCATGGCGGCGGGTGGCAGTGCCCCCGAGCTCTTCACAAGTGTGATTGGCGTTTTCGTGTCGTTCGACGACGTTGGCATTGGTACGATCGTTGGTTCGGCCGTCTTCAACATACTGTTCGTGATCGGGATGTGCGCCCTCTTCTCGAAGACGGTGCTCTCCCTCACCTGGTGGCCCCTCTTCCGCGACTGCTCATTCTACAGCATCAGCCTCCTGGTGCTGATCTACTTCTTCCGCGACAATCGCATCTTCTGGTGGGAGGCCCTCATCCTGTTCACCATCTACATCGCTTACGTGACCTTCATGAAGTGGAACGTCGAGGTGGAGCAGTGCGTCAAGAAGTTGATTACCAAAAACAAGGTGACTCGCGTCCGAAGTACAGATCAACTTATGCCAGCAGTAAGTAGTTGGGAAGTTTTTTTGCAACAAAAAATCAAATCAAATCAATCAAAAAAAAAAAAAAAAATCCAACAATATCTCTCTCTCTCTCTTTCTTGAAAATTAAACAAAACCAAAAAAAAAAGAGAAACTAAAAAAAAAAACAATTACAAAAAACGTAAATCAAGAAAATCGTAAACGTAAAAGAGAAAGCGAAATTGAAAGCCAAAATTTTGTGTGCCAAATGAAAAGAAAAGAATCAAAGAGTAAAACGAAAACGAAGATCCTTTGCCAGGAACGAAATTTCGTTTTTGATTTTCGTTTTGTGTATGTTTTTCCATCCTTTTTATCCCGTAAGCCCCCACTAACCCCCCATCTCCATCCCCCATTCTGATCCATCCCATCTTCCATCACCATCTATCTCCCAATCTCATTCGAGCAGTCGGCGCGTGCCAGGCACTAACCAGTTGGCAGGTGTTGAAGCTGCTATGACTAAGGGCGGGTTGTTGTTGCAATCGCCGATGAAACGTCCATGACTAAGAGATCTTTGCTGTGACATTGAAAGCACGACTTAATAACTCAGCCTCTGAGTCCCGACAGTTCGACTCAAATTTCACCTGTGACACCGCATTTCGAGTGAGTCCGATCTGAAAACAGGTCCAGGAACTGAAAGCGGACCTCTCTCCAGTGCCTTGACCCACTCTTGGTTTCATTAAAAACTGAAATCGGAAATCCGAAATACGATTTATTCATATGGCATTTCTAGACCTATCTTTGGGGTCTTTCCCCCCCTGGAAAACCGGTTTCTTCAAGTGTCTAGGGAAAAATACCTATATTGTGTACCTAGTAATATCAAACCTGTTTAAGACTAGAGAGCGTTATTTTTACACCTGATGGCGCAATTTATATCCTCAAATATATATACGGAAATATAAATGCCAGTTTGATCCGCTACTTGAATCTACGTCGATCAATTTTCTAGTAGATTCTCGCAGTATAACCTATAACCTAGACTATCATTATGATAGGGAATTGATTGGAGAGGATCTCTTCGGGTTTGTATAACCCTAGTTTTATACAGCAAACTTAGTCAGAACTTTCTAGAACCGAACCGAACATCTGCCAACTGGTTAGTACCACCGACTGCCTTCCATCTCCAATTTCTACTAATATTTATGATTATTCTGATTATTATTATTATACTAAAACTATTCTTTCAACTACTCTTTCTATCGATCACTAGTTGAACTCCTTATTTCTTCTTTAGTACTTAGCTTCGAATCATTTGTTAGTCAAAGTTTGATTTGCTATGCGTCTTTTCGACTTGAACACCCTAACACCCTAAGAGACACCCACACACCTGAGCAGACACACCCCCAGACACTCACTTACACAGCTGAGACCACACACCGACACACGCATATGTACACTATATCCTCCTCACACGATCACGATCCGTAGAGAACAAAACTCTTCTTCTGCATGAAAGTAAAGTAAATCTAAAGCCCAAAAAGAAACTTTGCACACAGCTTGAACTTGATCTTGAGCCGAGACACGAACCAGTCGTCCGTCGCATGCAGACTGCCAGTGCGAGTGCAAGTGGGAGCGGAGTGAGAATGGAATGAGTGAGAGAGAACGCGTGCGCATGCGTAGAACAGTTTTGAGTTTTGTTTTCATTTATTGTATTCCACGCTTCTTGCTCCGTACAAACATCCATCTCATTCACACACTCATTTCATTTGTTGTAGCACACTTTCATTTTGTGGCGAAAACTTTGCTACTTTGGTACTGGGTGGGTGGGGGTATGCCCTATTTTGGCAATGAAACCTATGGGATAGGATAAGGAAGGCATTCGATCATCCTGGAATATTCCTTTCTTTGAACTCCACTCATATCTTTCCAACGTAGATTAATCCCTTTGTTTGATTGATTCATTTGGTTTGCGGTTTATGCTGTTTTGAAAATATTCTTTTTTTATTAAGAATAAAGCGAGATTCTAAACTTACTCACATAACAAAAGGGAGACTTACGACTAATAATAAATATATAATACATTTCGCTAACTAAAGTTCACTCGAATGAACACTATTCGAGCTCTTTCTGCTGCAGGAAGAGCTTTGTGCTGTGATGATTGACTAATTTCGTGGTATTTCGATTGTCTTCTCGATCTTTGGGCTGTAGCTAATACTTGGAATGGACTTCGTACTCCTTCTTAATGGAAAAAGAGTCTGTCTCTAGACCCTGTCTGGATGTCCTGGCATCAGGACCTTGGGCGACATTATAACTCCTTGGTTGTAGACGTTCGCTGGTTGCCTGGGCACTGGCGGCGCACTTCTCAGGCTAGGACTCGGACTGGCGTGGACCTGGGCGTGCTGCAGCCTCGGAAGGGTGGCACTCTGCAGGGGGCGTGTCTCGTGCTTGACGTGGATGCGGGCCAGGTCGCTCTCGATAAGCAGCGGATTGCTGATGGTCCTTATCATCCTGGGGGTCATGGGTCTTTTCTTTCCACTGTCCACAGAGTCGATGTTCTCCGTGGACACGGCCTGGTAGTGGGACTTCTTGCTCAAGTTTGCCTCGGGATCGTCTTGGGTCTTCTTCAGGTTGTGCCACATCTGGATGTCGCAGACCTTGAGCTTCATGTAGATGAAGATCACTATCCGGTAGAGGATCACGTATCCCACCATCAGGCACAGGCCGAAGGTGCAGTGCTCGGCCACGGTATCCAGCAGGTGGTTCATGTCCACCTGGATTATGTTCTTGTCCTTGCATATCTTGTAGACCGCCGGCGTGATGACCATCCAGTACAGCAGCACCACAATAAGTTCGATAATCCTTTTTTGAAACATTCTCGCTGTTGTTGTAGTTCTTGTCGATGTTGCTTCTCGTTGGTTCCGCGGGGAAGGAGAGCGCGCGCGCTTAAGAGCTTCAGAGCGATGCGGTTCGGTTTAAGCTTCGTTACTAAATGATGCACGGAGTGCGCAAAAGCCCGCTATATAAAAAAATTACAACGCCAGTCGACCGCACTGATCGATGCAGTCAGCGGTCTCAGCGGTTTTAGACGAAGCGCTTGCTTCGCTTCGGGTCGATCCAACGATCGACGAACGGCGAGCAGCGATCAGCGATCAAGATGTTGTTTATCAGTCGCGAGTGGCTTTATCTTTAATCGTTCACTATTCCAAACACGGATTGTATGTAAACAAAATATGCCTACGTCAAAATCGAGTCCCCAGTACCAGGAATATCTACGATATTTCTTGGAACTGGTTTCGGGGTCACCCTCTGGGCGTCAGGCAGCTACTTCTTCCGAATCCGATCCGATTGCATTTCATTTCGAAAACGACAAACTGGTTGAGTGACAAATTGAGCTCAAGTGTGAGTCGGGTCTCATTTATTGTTTGTTTGCTTTACAATTTGCATTTCTTAGATCATTTGGTAAGCCTCTCAGGTCGCCCTCTTGACTCGAATACTCAAATTCAGCAGGCGAAATTTTCAAGCTGGTAAATTGAGTATTTTTTTCAAAATTGTTGCTGAGAATGATTCATGCTGAACTTAAATAATTCATTATGTGATTTAAGCGCTTTGGTAACTTACGTTGCCCTGCTGTCTTCTGTCCCGCTCCAACACAGAGTCATTGTCTCCGTCTTCGATTGGGTGATGAATTTTCGACATTATAAAATGCTTTCAACGTGATTTCATACTCGGTCTTTGGCTCCGGCTGCAGCTCCGTCTCTGTGTAATATAGATAGTCCACCATTAATTGTGGCTCATTTCAGTGTCAAAATCAATCAGAAGCAGCTGACAGATCTCACTTTAGTACGGGTTCAAGGTGATTAAGTCCAGAGGGAGAGAGAGCTCTCTCTGCTTTGAGATATTCCCTCTTTTAAGATCGGATTTCGCAGGTGTCTTCTGGTTTTGCGTCAGAGATGAGTGAGTGTTAGGCCGAATCGTGAATGAGTGGCTCGTGGGGCTAGAAATCCCATAGTATGGGTTTTGATCAACAACATGACTGGGCACTAATTAGCATTATAATCGGAGTCGTGGGGTGGTTCACCTGGCACGAGCCACTCGACTCGTTAATGGTGGTCTGATCTTGACTTGCCCTACACATACACCTGCTTCAGTTTCAGTTCCAGTTCCAGTTTCACATCGAGTTCGATTCATGAATGGAGTTACGAAAGACTCGTTCTCCGATCGAACGTACAAGTGCGAGTACGAGTATCGTTATGGGTATGGGATATGTAACACCAATTATCATCTCGTTTCCATTCATTCATTCATTAGAGTCCCCATTAGTCACCTTCCCCTCCACACACACACACACACACCCATTAGATATATACATATGTATGTAGTTAGAGTATACAATATATGTATATGGTATATGGTTAGTGCCTGCATTTGTTACACCTACCGATCCGACCCGACCCGATCCGAACCGATCCTCCCTCATCTGCCTGCGCTTCCTTCGCTAATGTGCCAATTAATTCGCATTGAATTGAAAGTATTTTTCGGTTTTCAGTTGTTCTCTGACAAAGTTTTTCCAAATGTTTTTGTGTTTTATCTGTTTCTTTTTGATTATAGTGAAGGCAAAATGAAATACAACAAAACTTCCCACTGCGCTTTGACAAGTATCAATACAGATATCGTATATAAAAATATATGTGTATATTTTGTTTGATCAAAACAACCAAAACAAAAAAGAAAAAAGTATCTAAAGAAAAACCAAAAAGAAAGTCATTCAAAAGCTTGTATGTATAAAAACCCAACAAAAAATGTTGCAACAGACAAACAGAAAAATTTTCAATGACCAAAAAAGAAAAGTTTTCATCACTACATATTTTATTTCCTCATCTTCGAACTTATCGTTTTGATTTTGTAATATATGTCTGTACATATGTAAGACTCGTTTGGATCCCTCTGATCCCACTCCGAGGACTTCAAGCATGCTCCGATGCTACAGTTCCACGATCGATCCTACTACTGTATATAACACACAGATCCAATCCAACTGTTTATTTTGTTGCACAAACACATAAGTACCTTCTCCTCCTACGCAACAGCGATAGCGGGTATTCCTAGTGTTCCTCAATGTTCCAGCGATTAGCGGCGTACAGTACTCCCATCAGACTGTAGGTTGATAGATTTGAGTTCTTCAGATCTTAAGTGGTCCGTGTATCGTATCGTATTGTGTTGGATGTTGTGTGGTGAATCGTTTCTTTCGATATTTGACTTGATTTTGACATTCCTTGAGTTCTGTTCCGTTCGGTTTTCGTTTCGATGTCTTGAGTTCTGTTCAGATATTGGCTCCCAACTAACTTGCACTTACCGATTCGATTAGTCCTTAAGCCACACACAAAAAAAACCAAACCAAACCACAACAACACCAACAAACAACCAACAACAACAATAACAGCAATCACAGCCAGAAACAACAAGAAACAGATACATGCAACATGACAAAAGATAGACGAAAAAGCTACAACAACAACTACTACACTCAACTTGTAAATTTATACAAATTGCAATAATAAACTTTTCTTCTTCTTCTTTTCACCTTTTTCTCGAAATATGCTTACCAAAAAATCCAAAATAAATCCGTAAACCATTACACCGCTCTCTCGAAACTCGAATCTCGAAACTCGATACTCAAAACTCAAAAAACGAAACAACAATCCGTAATAATCTGTAACACCCGTAACTCCCGTAACTGTGTGTGAACCCGTAACCGTAACCGTACCACTACCACTACCACCCACGTCCATCCGTTCTTGTTCTTCGTTCCACTTCAGGGTAATGCGGCAAACTCATCGGAAACCTCAATGGCCACCCAGCCGGGCGGCTCGGTGACATCGCGTGCGGCGAGCGAGACGCGCTCCGGCCCGCACGGCTCGAGCAACGCGGGCGCTACAGGTAATAGCAGCGGTGGTGGCACCTCGGGTAGTACACAGACCGGTGCCAAATTCCGTCATGGCCTATTACAGCTAATGATACACACGATAGATCCACTACACGATGGTAAGTTCTTCCGTTCGTTGAGTTGCCACAGTGTGTTTTGCACAAGTCAAGCCTAAAAAGCCTATTGCCTAAAAGAAAACTAATATGACAAAAGAGAAACCGTACTAAAAAGTCCCCCTAAACGATATATTCCCCATCAGCCCATCCCGGACTCCAGATCCCCAGATCCCTAGTCCCTAATCCCAAGTCCCCAGCCACCACGCTTACATCCGAACTAAGATAAATACAAATGCAATAACATATACCTCTACTACGCCAAACTCTACTCTATATACTCTACTATATATACCTGTACCTTCTGCGTTCTACACTTTCACCTGTACCTTCCACCTTCCACTTGTACCCAGTATCTTTATCTGTATCTGTATCTAAAGTTCTGTTTGGTTTTTGTTCCTTTTGAAAACTCTGTGTACATTCTGTGTTCTTCTAATTGGATGTTTGACTTGCCAGCCAGAAGTTGTTTCTTCTGGGCTTCGCCTATTCTGTACTCCGTATCCATATCCGTATCTATATCTGTGTCTATTTCGATTTCTATTTCCATTTCCATTCCCTTTAAGTTGCCTTCTTGCCTTCGGTTTGTTGTGTTTTTCATGTTCCCTTTTTTTCTTTTATTTTCTTTTCGCTTGCTTTACTTTTCTATTGGTTCTTATTTCTTTTTTAATGGCGACCTTGGAGCCACTTACCTAATTAGCACGCCAGTCAGCCAGCAAGCCAGTCAGCCAGCCAGCCCCAGACGGAGCGTCGACAAACAGTGCGGATGTGTCCGTTAAGGCGCAGGGGGAATTGACAGCTTAACCCTTTTGTTTAGGGCCCGGCAGGAAGACAGGAGGGACATCCGACTTGAGCGGAAAATCATTTAAAGGTCATCCCGAGGCTCGAATTTCCTCCCTTCCCTTTCCATCTCGGATTGATTTTGTTGCAAACCAAAACCAAAACCAAAATTTCCAATCACCATTGATTTATTATGGATTAGGCACATTGTAGTGGCAGTGGTCTGTGCATGTACTCGTACCCGTACCCGTACCTATAAATATGTATAGAATAGACCCAACGTTGAGTCGTCGTCGTCGTCGTCGGTGTCGTTGTTGCCACGGCAATGGCCCACACCGAACGAACAACAGCCAGGGTCGGCCTTTGGGGCGTGCTCGTCAAGGTTCGCAGGTGCAAAGTGTTAGAATTCGTGTAGTGCCAAGTGGGGGGCCTACCTCAACGCGGAGTAGGGTCTCCCGGCCACACATTGAGGGAGGTCCCGATTGATACTTGGATACTTGAGGTATCTGTATCCAAATAGGGGCTTTAAGGTTCCCAAACGGTAGATTTCGATCCAGAGAACATTTAAATATTCAGGGAATCCCCCTTAAAAAATGGTTCACGCTTCGACTGAAATTTATTCTTACTTTTTGAGTTCCTGCTGCCTCACAGAACTGCTATTTGCTAATTTATTTTCGGCTTTATTTTTTTTCATTTTATTGCAACAACAAAACAAAAGAAAGAAACATTATCAACAAAAGTAAAAACAAAACAAAAAAAGAGAAACAAGCAAGAAAAAAAAACTAAAATAACGAAAATATTTTATGTTGTTCAATGTCAGTTTGGAGTTACATTTATACTACCAATATATCCAATATCTATAAATATATATATACCTATACATATGCGTTATATATCTAGCATTAAAAAAGTTATCATAAATTCCTAGAGTTTTTGAGCGCAGCTCAATGGCAATGGCAGATACGTACTGGAAAGATACTTGCGACTTGCGAGAGATAGATATGTTTAATAGATGTATCTGAAAGTATGCCGTAGTACCTTTGGAATTGTCTGTGGATTGAGTTGAGTTTGACACGTGACAAAAACAAAACAATGTATTGGATTGTACATATTAACTATGCGTTGTCAGTGTTGTATGTGTTAATCGTGATCGTAATCGTTATTGTAATTGTAATTGTAAAC